CCCCGCCCAGGGATTGAACCATGTCGCCTGCCTTGTAGGCGGACTCTTTTTCGACTGAGCCACCAGGAAAGCACACTGTACCATATTAATAACATTTCTTATTTTAAAATGTCAGAAGAAACAAACAAATGTGCTTTGAAAAGTTTAACAGTCCTGGACCACATGGAACACTGCAAGTAGATGGCAGGACGCCTAAGTGCCCCTCACAAGGAGTGCGTGCACCGATGTTTCACTCCATCCTTCACCCCCACCCCAACAAGGCAGGCAGCAGCCCTCTCTTGTCAGTCCAGTGTCTCCCTGTTTTCCCCAACTTCCTCCCAGCCAGAGAAGTGATCTCTACTGCCAGTCAAAGACCAAGTCACTCCCTTGCTCAGAGCCCCTCAGGGCCCTCCAAGGGCCATCTAGGGAAAGTTTGAAGGACTACCTCCAAAAGGTTGGAAGACGGTCCGCCCCCCTCCCCTCTCATCACGGCTGTGTGTCTACTCACGACTCACTTGTCAAATCGAAGGTAAACTTCAGCCGTTTTCATTCAAAACCAGATCACAGTCACCTTTTGTTTGCATAAAACAAAAGGACGCAATGGCCCTGTCCTCTCATTTAGCCCTCAGATTTCCCTCTGTTTCATCTGCACCTCTTGCCCTCCCTGCTCTCCTCCCCTCAAGGCTTCAAGACCAAAGACCGCAGGCAGCAAACACACCCCAGTTCCTTCCACTGCCTCTTCCCAGAATCACCAGAAAGACACAAGAAGGTTGAGCTGCGTGTGTGCGTGTGCATGCGGGCACAGGTGCCCACACACGGCACACATTAAAAAGTAAAATTCTAAAATTCTTTTCCTGTTGACTCCATATCTGTTTTTAACAGATTTACTATGTACAATATACGTCAAATATATACCTAATATATATGTACATATTAAATGCAAAGACATTTTGAGTATTTTAGACACCCAAGGCTATCTGCTTGCCAGTAACAAAGTCCCTGCCTCCAGACCTCAGTTTTCCCATCTGTAGGTGGCAGACTTGCCCCCTCACTTGCAGCTCTGACAGTTTACCTGACTCTATCTCATACAAGGCAATGAGAAAACACCTACTCTGCAGTTTGTCCTAAATGTGGCCCTCCCTGTCCGCACCCTGGCCTAAAATCCCATCGTCTATGACCCCACTCACTATCCTGTTTAAAAATATACTTACCCATCCCCCAGGGTAAGTATCCCTAATTCTAGGATCTCCAGTTCTCAGCGTGGGGTGTCCGCACCCCCAGGAGCTATTTGGCTGTTTGGAGTTACAACTCGAGGCTACTACTGACATCTACTGGACAGAGGCAAGCAACGCCGCTAAACAACTGTAATGCATAGGACAGTCTCATGCTCAGTCGCTCAGTCTTGTCCAACTCCTTGTGGGCCCCCAACGCGCTTGTGTAGCCCAACGCGCTCCTCTGCCAATGGAATTTTCCAGGCAAGAATACCAGAATGAAGTACCATTTCCTACTCCAGGAGATCTTCCCGACCCAGGGATCAAACCTGCATCTCCTGCATTCACAGTTGGATTCTTTACCACGGAGCCACCTGGGAAGCCCCCAGTCAGTCCCAGGACCCACATCAGGAGAGCAAGGTTCAGAGGCCTGCCCTAGGCTGAAGGCAATTGTCGAATATTTTTTTTATACTCTCTAGACTAGGGGGTCCCCAACCTCCAGGGTTTAGTCCCTGATGATCTGAGGTGGAACTGATGTAACCATAATACAAATAAAGCACAATAAATGTAATGCACTTGAATCATCCTGAAACCATTCCCCCATTCCCGTAGTCAATGGAAAAATTGTATTCCATGAAACCAGTCCCTGGTTCCAGAAAGGTTAGGGACTGTTGCTCTAGATCCAGATGGCTGGGAAGACATCAGAGGAGGAGGAAGAACTGAAAGTTTAAAAGAGACAAATACCTTCGTTCCTGAGCAGCTCGGCACTGGGCTCTGGGCTCTTCACTTCCAAGGACCTGTCAGGCACTGGGCTTTGGACTCTTCGCTTCGGAGGACCTGTCACCGAACAAGGCACAAACACTGTTTTCAGATAAGAACATTAAGGCACAATCAGTTGAGGCCACACAGCTGTGAAGAGGCAGGGCTCACATCTCACCCTCTGATGGGTTCCGGAGTCTGTGCTCTGCAAGCAGGCTCTTGAACACACAGAATGCACATCAGACCTCTTCTCTGCTGTTAGGGGAGACTTCAGTCTAGGATGGAATGGAAATGAAGTAAGGAATCAAAGAAATGTAAAACCACACTGTGCTTAGGCCTTCGGAAAACAGATGAGGGACTTCCCCAGGGGCACAGTGAATAAGAATCTGCCTGCCAAAGCAGGGGACATGGGTTCGATCCCTGGTCTGGGAAGATCCCACATGCCATGAAGCAACTAAGCGTGTGAGCCACAGCTACTGAAGCCCACGCTCTAGAGCCTGGGCTCCTCAACAAGAGAAGCCACTGGAGTAAAAAGCCCGCACACTATAACAAACAGTAATCCCCACTCACCACAAGGAGAGAGAGCCCACGCACAGCAACAAAGACCCAGTGCAGCCAAAAATAAAAGTAAATAATTAAGAAAAAAAAAAAAGACTAGCTCTCAAAGGTTTTGTGAGTCATGATTAGGGTCTTTATCTGGAGGGCAACAGGGAGCCATGGCAGGTTTAAGCAGGAGAGTGTCACGATTGGGTCTGCATTTTTGAGTGGATTCCGTCTGACTGCTGTGTGGAGATGGGACTGACAGGGCAGAAGGAACGCAGAGGGACCTATGAGGAGGCTGCTGGGATTGTGTGAACAGGAGAGGATGCGCTTGGATTGGGGAATTAGTGAGTAGTGGGTGCATTTAACAGAAATTCAAGAGGTCAAAGGGTGATGGAAATTCAGGAGACCAACCCTGGGACATCACATACCTGTTTCGTTTCCAGCATCTCCTCAGGGCAGCTCTGCCAAAGCTTCCTGATGCCCAAGTCCGAAGCCCATCAACTCCCCCCTTTCCGACGGGACCAAACGTTTGCTTTTAGGAGGATGTCACTGCAGCTCTGAGGTGGGCCTGCCCTCCAGCCCAGGTTCCCGGCACGGCCTGTCCAGAGGAGGTGCATGAAACTGCAGCCCCGCCCCATCAGCCGGCATCAAAGGCCCCAGCGAGGATGAGGCGCGGGAAGGGCTATTTTAGGTTCCTTATTTTTAAAGCCGGGGTCAGGGCGCCCCGCCACTTAGCATCTCCAGGACTGGAAGCTTCCATGGGCACCCCCTGACCTCCCACCGGCCCAACACCAGAGAGAGACAGGAATGGCTTCAGAGCTGCACAGTAACCGTGGGCAGCCAGAAAAGGGTCCCTCAGAATGGCTGGTGAGGGATTCGGAGCATGGAGGCTCAAAGGCAGCCCGAGTCCTGGGTTTCGACACCAGTTTTTTCACTTTCTCTCAGAGTGGCCTNCCCCCCCCCCCTCCCCAGAGGAAGCTTCCTGGGGGCAGGGGCTGTGTCTGCCTTCCTTTGTAGCCCCTACTCTGCCCATTCCAGGAACAAAACAGGTGCTCGGTGACTGCTGGCTGAAGAATGGATGAACAAATCGAAGTTGGCAACATTTATTAGTTCCCACCTTCATGGTAATTAGCCTCTTTAGCTCATTCAATAGGGTTTCCCATTTTTCTAGATTTGAGGAAATTATTTTATATGGAGATATAAAGGGGCAAGCTTGTCTAAAATGTCCTTGAAGAAGAAGAATGATTTAAGGCAAAGGGTAGGACAGGACTGAGCATGCACGCATACATATGCACATGCACACTGCATGATTTATTACATAGCAATGGTTATTAACCTAATACGGTAAGAATACAGAGATACACAAATAGAATAAAGGAACAGGAAAAAACAAGCCCATAAATAGACCCTCCGTATATGTGACAATTTACTATGGGACAAAGAGCCAACTTTGTACCACAGTGGGGGGAAAATGGACTCTCAATAAATTACTCCAGGACAACAGTGATCCAAAGTGGGGAAAAAAGAAATCAAAAATGAAAAATTAGGTACCTGCCACATACTATACACAAAAATAAACTCCAGGACAACTGAGAGCTTAAATGGGAAAACTTTAAAACCTGTAGGGAAAAAGTTTAGAGAATATACTCATGACAAATGGGGTAAGAATTTCTTAACGAAAACACAGCAGACATGGCAGATACAAACCATAAAGGCGCAGACTGATGTTAAATCACATCAAAATTTAAAACTACTACATCAAAAGATAACAAAGACAAAGTAAAAAGAAGCTGCTCTCTGGGAGCAGGTATTCATGCTACAGAAGACCAACCAGTGTTTAACATTTATATAGAGAACACCTGGATTATCTCGTCATTCTTGCTATAACCCTGTTAAGGGAGACACTATTTTTTCCCCTATTTTTCCAAGCAGGAAGGCTCTGAGGTCCCATGACTGGGCAGGGCTCCAGAACAGCCAATTGAACCCAGCCCTCAGCTGCTACACTAAGTGACCACCCCAACCAAGGCGTGAACAAAGGGACCACAGAACGCAGACAGACAGGTCTTTGTGACCTCTCTCTGGGATGCGGGTGGGCATTACAGGGTTTGGGACTCCTCTGGGCAGATTTAAATAAACTCCCAGGTTCAAGGTGATAAGGCAATTCTGTGGGAACGGCAGGCAGTGGGTACATTTTTAGGGTCTGGAGCAACCATCACATGCCTCTGAATGGCTGCGTTTGGCAGCCACACAAGGATGACTCAGAGGTCAGCCAAGCCAGTCAAAGTGGGCTGTAAGTCAGGTGAAGAAGCAGAGGCTCAGAGGCTGGACAATGTGCCGCAGGTCACAGAGCCAAGCAGCTGCAGAGCTGAGACGTCTCAGTGAGGTGGTCCCACCCCTCACCCAGTCACTTTCGGGTTCTCTCGTCATTCTGTGTCTGCCTTACACACACACACATGCAAGCACGCAGCACCCTGGCTTCCACAGGCGATAAAAAGACGCTGCCTCGGATAAGTTGCAAGTCACACTTTATTCACTCTCCAGGATGTCTGGTGGGATGCTGGGCAGAGGCCAGGCCCTTGGCAAGGAGGCGAGGGAGGGGCACTAGCTGGAGGGGTGGAAGGCGCCCCGCTGGTGCCACTGCATGTCCCGAATGCGGCGCACGGACTGCACCTGGGGCTGGGGGGCCCCGAAGTCACCGCTGTCCTTGTAATCGCCCTTCTCCAGCAGGTACTGCAGCCCACGGTAGCCGGGGTACTGGTAGCCGACCCACCTGCAGGGCCGAGGTTGGGGGAGGACACGGGGGGAGTCAGGAGACGCAGATGGAGAGAGACACGAGGGGGTGGCTCAGCCACCTGGAAGGGTGGGCCTCCCACTCATCCCTCACTACCTGGATGTTGAGCAGAGCTCCACCACCCTTCCCAGGTCCAGCCTCTGCTTTCTTCCTCCCCTGGATGCAGAGCTCGCTACCTCCAGGAGCAACTATTTTTTAAGATTTTTTTTTTTTTAATGGACCATTTTAAAGTCTTTATTCAATTTGTTATAATACTGCTTCTGTTTTATGTTTCTGTTTTTGGCCCTGAGGCCTATGGTATCTTAGCTCCCCGATCAGAGGTCAAACCCACACCCCCCAGCATTGGAAGACTAAGTCTCAAGCACTGAGCCACCAGGGAAATTCCCAGATGCAACTTTTAACTGCAGGCCTGACACCGGGATCAGAGGAAGCGGTGATCTCAAGCTCACTCAAGCTTCGAGTAAGACAGGCCTCTTGCTCAATCCCCATCAAGGCCAAAGAGCAGTAGCAGAGGTCCCAGGAGCCCTCCGTGATCCCTCCACCATTTGAAGCCATCACCATTTAGGGGTCTCTCACTGGGCACCTGACGACTGTTACAGTCTTCTCCCCAGGAGGCATCACACAGGCCTGGCCCCCACGAACCTGCCCGGCCAGCCCCCGTGAACACCTCCAGCTCTGCCTCTCACACTCATTCCAGCCACTGTATCTCTGCAGCCCGGCCACTCACTCTGTCCCTTGCAGAGCCCAAGGGACTCACCAGGCTCCTCCCACCACAGGACGTTTGCTCATGCTATTCTGTCTGGAGCATCCTTCCTTCTCTTTACCTCTACAATTCCTACTTTCTCGAGATCTCAGTTCAAGAGCCCCTTCTTCAAGGAAGAAGCCTAGATTTGCATGGATTCCTAATTATGAACAGTTGCCTCCAAGCTGACCTTTAGCTACACAAGACCGAGGCCAGGTCTCTTTAACCTACCTTGAATTACTGATCACCTGTCATGGTGCCTGGCATATGACATCACTTGACAAACTGAACCAATGAATGAGTAAGTGACAGGGCACAGGAATGCAGAACTGTGCACACTCTAAGAGTCTGACAAGCCCCAGAAAGCCAGTATGTATTGGTAAACTAGTGATGTTGTGTGTGTGTGTTGGGGGGGGGTCTTGTTTGTAACACTTTCCAATCTCTGTGGTGTAAATATGTCTGCGATGGCTTATTTCAAGCTACCAATGATTAAACAACCTACTCACATTAAATTCTGAAAAGTTAAGTCAGCTTTTGCAAGCTGGTACAAGATGGTATGCTCTAGCATACCACTGCCCAAAGTCCATCTTCAGATTCCCCATAGAATCCACATTTTTCACAATGAGAAATTCCCCAATGCTGGTGACCAAGGTTTATGTACTGAAGAAATTTAATTTGGTGGAGAATGACCCCTCCTAGTTCCAACCTCAGGAATGCATGCAGAAAAAGGCCAGCATGGGCTGTACTTCCTGTCTCTCTCAGCTCTGTAAAGACCACTCAACTCATTCCAAGCCTTCTGATCTCCCCCCACCCCTCACCTCTGCCTTACCCTGCCCCCATCCAACATTTACTATCCTGCTCTTTGGAGCTGAGGTTAATGCCACGATTTCTCTCTTTCAAAGGCAAGGTGTTGCCCAAAAGGCAGGTCAGGATGGAACTTCAGGGACTGAAAGCCACGTGCCTGCATCTGATGATTTCAACGCCCATTTTCCAGTGGGAAGGCTGAGGTTGGGAATGTATAAGACGACCCCCAGAGCTCGGGGCAGAGCAGGGCTCAGCAGCTCAGAGTCCAGGCTCCCGGGGCAGGGTAAGCCAGGGCTGGGTGTGTACTCACGTGCCACTCTGCACCCGCACGGAAGACACCTTCTCCTGGTAGCCATGGGCGTGGAAGCTGGGCACGTCATCGTCTATCACCTCCATCTTCTTCCCCGTGAAGTTAGGGTTCTCATACAGGGTGATCTTGTGCTCCTGGCTGTCCTGTGGACGGGGAGTGGGAGTGTGGGTGAGGGCACCCAGGGTGCCCTGGAGTTGGGACCAGCACGCTCTGCCTGCAGCCATCTGCCCAAGACCCCTACTGCTTGAGTGTTGATGGCACTGGCCAGCGACAGTGGTCATCATACTGGGCTACCTTCACAAAACAGTCACTCCAGCTTCTACACTTTGGGGCGTACTTGACTCTGAAATGGCATTTTTCCCTCCCACAGCCTCAACTCCCCTTTTTAAAAATAAATGGTAGCCACGATACATACATACACATAGGCTTATCATGCCTCTAGAAGATACAATATTTTGGCTTTCCTTCATCTCCACATATCTTCCCATCCTCCTGTTCCTCTGACATTCTTCTTCTCCGTCTAGCGTTCATTCTTTAAGCTACTCTTGGCTCGGACAGTAAAGAATCTGCCTGCAATGCAGGAGACCCAGGGTCGATCCCTGGGTCAGGATGATCCCCTAGAGAAGGGAATGGCTACCCACTCCAGTATGCCTGCCTGGAGAATTCCATGGACAGAGGAGCCTGGTGGGCTACAGTCCATGGGGGTCCCAAAGAGTCAGACATGAATGAGCGACTAACACTTTCACGCTATTTGGCAGATGAGAAAACTGAGACTCAGAGAAAGTGACTTGGCCAAGGTCACACACACAGCCAAGAGGACTAGAGTCAACAAAGGAACTCATGTCTATAGAATGCTAAATTCAATGTTGTTTAATTTTGCATCAAGCTCTGGGGGGAGGCAGGCTGGGCTGGGGAGGTTTGGGAGCGTAACAGAGCATTAGTGGTGGCTTTGCCCTTGCAGACCACACACCAGTAAGAATCAGGATCTGAGAAGCTCTGAAAGGTCACAGGGGCGTGAGCTATGAACAAGAATAAGCTGCCTTCTCCTCCACCCCAAAACCCAGAATTTCTCTGAGTATTTATAGCAGCAATCGTTAGGGGGTTGTTAGGGAATTGCTCTGTGACAGGAGTTGCATAGACCTGAACAGCGCCATCCACATAGACTAGAACGTGAACGGTGCCCCTGGAGCATTCTGAATGAAACCTGAAGTCCCTGAAGTTGTGCACTGCGGCCACGCTCAGGCTACGCCATAGATACTAATATCCCCATTTTGCAGATGCGGAAACTGAGGCTTAGGGAGGTGAAGTAACTTACGCAAGGTCACACGACCGGGGGCATGATGCCAGAAGGGAAGGCTCCTTCCTAGTCCCTAGACCTCTGGCTCTAAGCGGGGCAAAGAGAGGAAGATGACGAGGGACAGGGGGCTCACCACTTTGATGGGCCTCAGGGAGCTGAGCGAGTCCGTCCTCCGACTGCTGGTCCACGAGTCCCAGCGGGGGTACTCACCCTTCTCAAACACAAACTGCTCCCCTTTGCAGTTGGCCTGCTCGTAGCCCACCCAGCTGCAGTGGAGACACAGAGAGACAGCAGGTCAGGCTCCCTCCAGGCTTCCTCTGGTGGGACCCTGGCTCCTCCCTCAGGCCCCAGAGTTCACAGTGGCCCAGCTCATCACAATGAGTAGCAGCCTCATCTAAACCGAAGCACAGCGAATCCAAGGGCAGTGTCAGCTCAGTTATCCAAAACCCAGCACCATGCTGGCTTCAATCATCTGGAACACAATCAAGAAATATAAAGGAAGCCTAAAAGACGACCTAGCAACAAACACAGATGTATAGAACCCATGTCCTGGGGCCAGTGGTATACTGGTGAATTAGCAAGGAGCTCTCAAAAAGAAAACAAATCCAGCTTGCCAGTTTCCATGGTGTAAATACTCCCACCATACGTGGCTGATTTCACGCCCTCCATGTGACGTCAGTGCACACAGAGCTGGGAAGAAATGTGCCCAGTTGGCTTTCACCACCGAGGACCGACTCCAGAACATCACTGCTTCTAAAGCTCACACACCTTGTTCATACCAATCCATTCTCTCTGGGTCTGTTTCCTCTTTTGTTCCTGATGGTGGTCTCTGGACTCATTTTGTACAGACAGAACACCAACAGTCTTAGATCCACAGTAGGAGAGAAACAGTACCTTAAAGGGGACGATTGCCTGCCAACGGGGCATGGCTAATAGAGGAAAGGGGACAGTCAGAAAAAGGCAGCATGATTTCATGATGCCTGGTGTTCTGGGGCGCTTCATCACAAAGGCTAACAATCCAGCCTGGCACAGTAACAGCCATTCAGAACAATGATCTAAGTCCTTAAGGGAAGGGAGACAGTGTTTCTTGCTGCTTTTAGAAGAAGAGAATGCCTGCCCTCTTGATCTGGCAATTCTGCTTTAGGTCACGTGTCCTTAGAAAACGCCTGTTGAGAGCTTGCAGACATAAGGGTAAGGCTGTTCATCATGGCGTTGTTTATAGTATTAAATAATAGAAACAACTTACACAGCCAATAGGCAGGACCTGGTTGAGCAAACTGGGTAATATTCTGTGATGTAATGTTAAAAAGGCATGAAAAATCATGAGCTAGGACTCAGGGTCTCAAACCTAACTGGGCAGAAACATCAGCAGGCGGGTTTGTGAAATGTAGATTCCTGGGCTCCAGACCCCAAGAGTCTGATTCAATGGGGCAGCGAGGGGGCCCAAGAACATGCACTTCAAAGCCTCCCCCTTCTGAGACTCTGATGCAGATTTACCTCCAAACAGCTCTTTCAAAAACATCGACATAAAATGCTCCTTAATGGCACAGAGAGAATTTGAGATATCTTGCAAAGTCTTCAAAATGAGTGACAAAAGAGTTTGTAAAGCATGATCTGACTTCTGATTAAATCTATCTCTAATATATATTTGGTGAAATACATACAGAGAAAAATCTAAGTATATACAGACAAAAACCAAAATCTTCATGGCTACTTCTGAGTAGTAAGATTAGAGTCATGTGGGTTTTTGGGGTTTTTTGCACTAAACCATTTCTCCTTAATGTTAAACAATGAACAATATAAACATCAGATAATTTTAAAAAAAGAAAGCAGAGAAGTGTAAAGTCTATTTGAGAAATTCTCCCATCCAGATACTAAAAAAAGAAAATCAGATGTGGTTCTTCAATGGTCAAAACCTTAGCTGTCCAGGAAGACATGGTCCTGAGCACACTGGTGTCCCGAGTGCGTCAGGGTAGCGGGGCTGGGCGGGGCCATTCCTTCGGCTGTGTTGTCCATCAGCAGACTCTGACTCAAGTAGGGTCATCACTCCCTGCACAATGCCCTGTGAACCTTGAGGTATGGGGCAGGTCACCCAGGACCCACACCAGACTCACTGACCCGCTGGTTGGGTGTCACTGGTGGCCACCTCTGATTCCAGAGGCTCTTGCAAAGGAGGAACGACTGGGGAACCACAAAGACAGGACTCTGAAGGTTGTGCTCAACTATGTGACCTGAGCATGGCTCAGTCCGACCAGACCAGTCACCTCCCCTTCTTTCTTGGGTCTGGCCCCAAGCCTGCTGGCCCCCAAATGTGTCAGCGAGTCTACAGAGACCAAGTCATCATCAGGAACAGGGAAGGGAAGGGTGGATGCAGAGCTGGGACATCCAGCTTCAGACCTCCCAGCAGAGTGAGGACACTCCCAGAGTCAGAGACTGGCAGCTCTGCCAAAGTCCGTGGGAGTCACCATGGCCATCTCCCTGCCTCAAGGAAGTGGCTGACCCAGATGTCAGGCTTTTCACATGGGCTCCATCCCATCATCCCCAGAAGGACACAGTTAGCCTCGTCCTACAGAGGAGGAATCTCAGGCCCAGAGAGGGAAGCTCTGGTCCAACAGAACAGAAGTGGTGAAACCAGGATTTGAAACCTAGCTCTATCTGACTTTAAAACACAAGCTCTCTCCAAAGGCTGCCAAGACCCCAAATTCTGGTCCCCCGATCGCACAGTCTAGAAGCTCAGGACAGATCCCTCCAGCTCCACAGTGCAGCCGCCTCACCTGTCAGCCCATGACCAAGTGAGGCCCTCCCCCGCCCAGGTACATACGGTCCAGCCTGCACCAGGACAGAGGCCGCCTTCTCCACGCCAGTCTCCTTCAGGTTGGGGCAGGGCCCGTTGAGCTCATGTGAGTGGCCCTGGAAGTTCTCCTGCTCAAAGATGATGATCTGCAACAGGAGGAGAGAGTCAGACCCTCATCATGACTGGGAAGAGGAGAACAGGGCAGCAGGGTGGGGAGAGGACTCAGAGAGCCTCGAAGGATGCTGAAGGGTTCCATGCTTGGAAATCACCAATCAAACATAAAGTCTGATAGTCCCAGCTCCAGTGACCAACTGTGAGACCCTGAGGCAGCATTTCACCTCTCTGAGCCTCAATTTCCCCATCTGTAAAATGGGAAATAAAGACAGAACCTACCTCATGGGGTTGTTGGAAGGATTCAGAGGAGCATAGTGGTGAGTATACCATATTTGCTCTGTGTGTGGGAGGCACAGTCATATTAATTAAGGGACATGGGTGAGTGGCAGAGCTGAACTTGCAGCCCAGGCCTGTCTGATGCTGTCTCCATTAGAGCACTGTTCTGGTACCACTGGTCTGTGGACCAGAGTAGGAATAGCACAATGCTAGGTAAGCCATGCTGCTCAAGCTTCTCCAGCCCTTGTCAATACCAGCCTGCACCCACACTCCACCCATAAAACCACACACACCTGTGCTCTTCTCTTAAGCCCCCATTGGTTCCGCAGGCTCCCTTCCCTCCCTCTCGGGATACCTCTTAAGAAGACTTCACCCCGCTTGCCTCATCTGGTCCTCATCAGCCCAGGGACGGGCTGGCAGAATCCCCACCAGGAAAAATGAAGCTCAGCAAAATGAAAGGACTGCCTGCAGCTTCATAGCCAGTGCTAACTGGGAAGCAGGTGGGGATAGGGGGCAGCTGTCACCTTTTATGATTGCAAAGAGAACTCAGGGTCAGATGTACTTCCCCTGGGAGCTGGGCTCAGGGTAGCTGGCTCCCAGGAAGGGCAGCTGGAGAATCTACATGCTCAGCACTTGCTGGGTCAACATGCCCCTCTCTCCCAGGCCAGGGATTAGCCACACAAAGCAGATAAAGCCAGGGGAGGGAGGCCCAGGAGGGCTCAGATTCCATGGGCTCAATTCAGGCTTGATGCTCACTGACTCGACCACGGATGGGTCAGGAGATCTGAGCTCCAGTATCTCCTCTTCTGCATCCAGCTGGGCAACCCGAGAAAGCCACACGATCGCTCTGAGCCTCAGCTGCCCTGACTGTGAAATGGGGAATAATGCCAACTTTGCAGGGTTACTGAGAAGAATCCAGAACATGAGAGTCGAGGACTAGTGTGTTATGACCACCCTGGCCTGGGAGACAAGGGTTGCAGGCTAAGGAAGGTGAAAGAGGACAGCCTCCCCATGGATCTGGAAGGCCTCAGACAGCCCAGGAGCTCAGTATTATTATTATTGTTGCTATTTATCCACAGATGGATGCTAAAATTTTATGTATTACCTAATCCTTTCAACTTGCACTGTCCAATTCAGCAACCACTAGATGTATATTGAACATATGCAACTAATCTGAATTAAAATGTGCTGTAAGTTTCAAATACACATCAAATGTTAAAGATTTTGTATGAAAAAAAGAACGTAAAATAGTCCTCTAACAATTTTTCTACTGACTATACATTAGGATACACTGGGTTTAATAAAATATACGAAAGTTAATTTCCCTTGTTTCTTCTTCCTTTATTAACATGGCTACTTGTTGTTTAGTCACTAAGTTGTGTCCGACTCTTGTGACCCCATGGACTGTAGCCTGCCAGGCTCCTCTGTCCATGGGATTCTCTAGGCAAGAATATTGGAGAGGGTTGCCATGCCCTTCTCCAGGGGATCTTCCCAACCCAGGGATCGAACTTGAGTCTCCATCATTGGCTGGCAGATTCTTTACCACTGAGCCACCTGGGAAGTCCAACATGGCTACCAGGAAGCATTAAACGCCGTCAGCGGCTCCCATTTGAAACCGACTGGATGGCTGCTCCAAGCCACGTTCCACTGGCCTTCCTGCTGCTCAAGCTCATCTAGCTCACTCACTCCTGGCCCTCTGCATTCACCATGCTCTCTGCCTGAACACTCCCCACCCCACGCCCTGATTTTCAGTGCTCCCCGCCCTGGCCTGGGCTTCTGCTCCATGTCACCTCCTCTGAGGAGTCCTCCCTGACCTTAGCTAATATGTTCCCTGTTCACCCCAACTCTGAAGGACCCTACTCTTTTTGTTTCTTCCTAACACTTCTCATTCCTTGAAGTTATGTACTTATTAGTTTATTTATGTGTCTGTCTTCCAGAAAGTAAGCCCCTTTGGGGGCAGAATGGAGCAAGCTGGGTCCCAAGTCAGACAAAAAAGCAATTCTAGGATGGAGTCCAAGCCTGGAGCCCCCGAAGCAGAGGGGGCTGAGCCTGTTTCTTTGCCTTTTCACAGATATCTTAGGCACTGAGTCCAACTCTCCCCATTTTTAGGAGGAACCTGAGGCTAAGTGAGGTGAAGTGACTGGTTCAGGTCACACAGCAGGTGTGAAGCCCACCCCACCACCCATTCACAAACCGCCTCTTAGACTGGGCTGAGGGTTCACCCCAGCTTTGGGGACCCCTCTTGGGCAATGGGGTTCAGGGTAAGGCAGAGAAAATTGAGTCTCCAGAGTCAAAAATATGCTAGCTGTGGGCTGGGAAGGGGCCTTCTGAATCAGCACCCTCCTCCACTGTGCAAGTTGGGGAGACTACGACCCAGAGAGAGGGACCCCAGAAAAGAAGTCACAAATCCCAATTTATAGAAGGAAAACCGAGTCTTAGAGAGACTCTGCGCTTGCCACCCCATCCCCTGACGTGGTACCCACCTTGGGGTTGAGGGGCTGAGGCTTGCCCGCTTGGGTCTGGTGGTCTGAGGCCATGGTGGGCTGTCCCGTGCAGGAGTGATCTGGAAGGCATGGGGGAAGCAGCAGTGAGGACCCCTCCAGGCCCTCGGCTCCCTCACTGGGGGGCCTGAGCCACATCATTCCAGCCCCACCTCCTATTCTGTGTCTCCCTGCCTGGTTTCAGGTTCTCCTAGGGCAGTGGGGACGGCCAGCATCTGCCTGAAAGTTCGTCACTAGCTTTGCTTCTTTGCATCCAGGCCGGCTCCAAGGGGGGACAAAGAAATGAGGTATACTAAAAAATAAAGCAAGAAACTAGAACATCACTGGGGGCCCACGTGGCCCCAGACAATTGATGCTACTACACCTCAATTTCTTATACATCAATCAATATTATGCAGAAATTTCTTGATTAAAAAAAACAGCATAAGCAGAGGAAACTCACACCCCGGGCATACTTGGCCAGGGTGTAGTTCCCAATCTGCAGTCTCACAAAGTTCCCCGGCTCCCCTGCCCCCGCCCCAACATCCTCCTTGACTGCCTCCCCACCACCCGGACCCCAGAATGCTCCTCTCCACTACTGGTCTTATCCGCCCCCCACGATTAGTACATACGTCTATTATGGAGCTCAGGCTACAAGAAAGCAAAGACATGAGTATAACACAACTTCAGACACTGATCAGCAGCAGGACAGTTTCTTAATGACCGAGAATGTCAGAAAAGTATGGACAATGGTCAAGTGTCTCCTCCCTTCCCGCAGGAGGGGCAGAGAACCCAGCCTGCGTCTTCCCAGTGTGGAGGGGAACCTGTCTCCTTCTCCAGAGGTAACATCTAGCTTCCAGAAGCTCCTTCCACACCACAGGCCAGGCCAGGATGTTCCCCCAAAAGAGGACATTCAATTAAACAGCTTGGAGCCAGACCTGCCCTTCTCCCCTAGGGAAGCAGCCCTCTGGGTCTGTTCCTGTGCCCAAGGCCCCACATTACTGCCCTCCACCATTGGCATCCTCAGATTGAAGGCTAAGCTCAGTTGGATCAGCTCAGGCACTGCCTCTGCCGCTTACCAGCATCAACCCCTGAGAAGGGTGTCCCCTCTGTGCCTCAGTTTCCTGCTCTGTAAAGTGGGGACAGGATGGCGCCTGGTCACGTCTACAGACAGGTTGTGACGATCCAAGTATAGAACACAGAAAACCATAAGCACTTGAGAGCTCCTGGAACCCGCTCAGCGCTCAGCACACAGCAGCGATTACGGCTTCACTAGGGTCCTTTCCACCCAGCTTTAGTCACCTGTGGCTGGGAGCTTCCCTGAGAAGGGAGGCCACTTCCTATCTGTCCCAAGGCAGGACACAGAGCAGGTGTCCCGCGCAGGTTTGTGTGTGTGGAGAGAACTGACTCACCGCCCTAGAAGTGAAGCTGAACCTTCCATGGGTTTATTCCTTCCACTCACAAACCCTCAGTCATATTCTTCACCGCTGGCAAAACGAAGATGCTGACGGACTGTTTAGTATCAGTAAAGAGCATCGTCAAAGTACACGTTCCATGCCAGGCATCACGCTGGACCACTCACCTACATTGTCTCTGAGCCCCACGGCAAAGGAAGTTTTAGGACCCCGGCCCCTCTCCCCATTTCACAGAAAAGAAAACTGAGGCTCAGTGCCTTGAGGTCTTGGCCCCAAAGTCACCTGGTCAGAAAGCAGAAGCCTCTGGATTCAAACCCAGGTCTCCCACCCTTTCCATCAGGGAGCAGGATGAGAGCAAAAGGCAAGACAAGCAAGACAGCCATTCTTACCAGTGACACCAGTCCCTGAGAGTGCCCGTGGAGCCTTCCAGCGGGAGGTGACATTTATACCTTCCCCAAAAGTGCCCGTGCCAAGATGGGTGACCGCTGCGTCCCCGTGGACAGTGCGGGGAGAATGCAGGATTAAGCCCACACCAAAGGCCGGGTCAGCAAATGCCCACAGACATTGTGTCTCTGCACAATAATGTCATTAGCTTTCAGATTCGGCCGCGCCAGGGTGGTCAGGCGGTCGAGCAAGAAGATGCCTGCTTTGCAAGCATCAGCCATCCAGCTGCCAGGCCCAGGGCATGCTGGGTTCACTGGTGTGGTCTGTTGAGCCCTGGGGGGAGGCAGACAGATGCAAATCTCAGTGACCCTGGTAGAAAAAAAAACAAAACAAAAAACCAAGGACAGGAAGGTGGTTTGGCAGGGTCCAGCACCCAGCCATCCATCCATTCAACAAATATTTATTAGGCATGGATTTGGTGCCAAGCTCTGTCTGAGGGAGCAGTGTCAGGGAGGGGACCTATCCAGGCCTGGACCATCCAGAAAGGCTCCAGGGAAGAGTCAGAGTCCTCAGAGATGGGGAGAAATGAGCCTGGGAAGCCGAGTTAGGAGGACAGTTCTAAGCAGAAGGGGACCAGGCACAACGCACTGTCGTGGTATTTCAAGAAGACCTGCAAACAGGTTAATGCATCTCCAGGGTGGCCTGCGATGGGGAGGGCCTGGGCTGGGCAGCTGGGATGAGCAGAGGGCTGGCCAAGCCAGACAGAGAAGAGGGAATGTCACCCTGAGGCCCGTGACTCTCCCAGCACCTGCTGTTCCTCAGTGGGGTGCCCTCAGGATCCTCACCCCCCCCGGGGTTTAAAGAAGGCTCTCGATCCCCCCTGCCAGCCCCATCACTGCCCCGTGGGCACCTGGCCTTAACTGGCATGCACACCCTCTTTGTAGACTGTCTGTGTCCTGACTGAATCCAAGGTCAGGCAGGAGAGAGGGGACCCCAGTGGGGCTTGGAGACTGGGTTGGAGTGAGGGGACTTCCTCTCCCCAACTTCCATACCCCCAGCTGTGCTGTCTCTCTCTCTAGCACTCCTCACCACCTGACGTTATGTTGCTCATTTATCTGCTGTCTTTACAATCAGCAGATAAACGTCATGAGGGCAAGGCCGTGGTCTGCCAGGTTTACCACCTATTGGACTGCACCCCAAAGTCTGTGAGCCTTGTCATCACTCGATCTTAAGGCCAAAAAAGGAGTCAGAGACAGTGGCAGAGATGTCAGAGATTCACTGGACAGGTGATCTTACACAACCCATCCTGGTGCCACATGTGTCCAACAGGGAGCAGGACACAGCAGGAATCTCCAGCTACTCAGAGAAGGAGGAGGCTGGCCTCTGTAGAGGGAAGTGACGTAGGTGGGCTCACCAGTTACTAGGGACCAGTAAAGCCCTGTAATTGAAGAGGATTGGGTGGTCATATGAGTAAAGCAGGGGCTGGCCAAGCAGGAGATGGACAGGAAGCAAGAGAACAGCCATCTTGAGTGGCCTCACCATATAAGTCTCCCCTATATCCTCCGTTACGACCCTTACAATGCTGATCTGCCCCTCTTCCCTGATATCCCTGGGGTCAGGTGAAAGGCACCGCAATCAAACAGCACAAATGCAATCCAGACATCAGCAGCTAGGAAGCATCACCAGTAATCCAGGTGCTCACTGGGTCAATTTTTCTTTGAAGTCCAGCAGACAACCACAACAGCATCTCGCTATGGACCCAGCAATGAGGCCAGCATTGTCGCCCAGTCTGTGAACAGATTCCCTCCACTCAGACCAAGGAAGAAATGTAAGATGTTCAACAGGCACAACACAGGGAAGATCAGGGCCATGAAGCGACATACAGCGACAAGCAGCTGCAGCGCTGAGACCACCTCACCCGCCTGTGTGTCCGTCCTGCCTGCAGGAGCGCACCGCCTGTGCACCCCCGGTCCCCACAGCCAGCGCTGAATACTGGTTTAACAACGGACCACAGTAGTTGTTGTTTAGTCACTTAGTCGTGTCCAACTCTTTTGCAGCCCCATGGACTGGAGCCCTCCAGGCTCCTCTGTCCATGGGAATTCCCAGGCAGGAATACCGGCCTGGGTTGCCATTTCCTTTTCCAGGGGATCTTTCCAACCCAGGGATCGAACTTGCAACTCTGGCATTGGTAGGTGGGTTCTTTACCACTGAGACACCAGGGAAGCCGGTTTTCTCCAGTAGGCGCCCAGGTTAATTACTGTCACAGCCTTAGGTGGGGCCAGGGAGAGGAAAAGTGAAATCTGCAAACCCCTTTCTAATCCTATTCCTCAGGAGGCAACAAAGACAAACCAGAGGGACTTACCTGCCAGTCTCAGGCTCAACAGGGGGCAGGTCCCATGTCAAGGGCAAAAGGGCGTTCTTGGTTGGCAACGATCCTTTGGTGTTGACAGTTGAGCTCAGACGATGTTGACTATAGTTCTGGGTTAACACCGCGTGGGTGCTGGGACGATGATCCTGGGATGCTCAGTGATAGTTCACAGGGCTCAAGTCAGCCTCCTGGTCCACGTGCTGAGAGCAAATTCCCCTCTCAATGTTAAAGTGCTCTTTTAAACAGCCTGGCAGTGATAGAGTTTGTAAAGCAGGTGGGAAAGCCAGTGTTCGGCATTTTTAATGGCCCACTCCTGGACTTCATGGGCCTTAGTAGCAATCCATGTCCAAGAGGGTCCCTTGGTCACACACGGCTGTTCTAGACCCCGAACAGTGGTTGTGGTGCTCGAAGACTCTGGTTACATCTTGTAATGTCTCCCACCTGTTGTAACGCGTTGTAGCCGGCATGCAGCCGTGGTCCCGGCCCCATCCATTGCTGCTCTGCCCCCTCCTGTGGCCCGACTGAGGGGGGGTGTTTGGGGAGTGGGGTTGTCTTACCCTACCAGGTAACCCCCAAGTATGTGACATAGTTGGTCCTGGCCTTTCGTCTGTATTCAGCCAACCCTGGGCAGTCAGAGGAACCCCGAGGGCGGAGCTGCCACCTTTAAACTGGAATGAGACTGAGTTGAACAGGACACTCAGTCTCATGGAAGGGAAAGATGCCTCCCGTGGTAGCCAGCTCCCCAGGGCCCCTCGTGCTAGTGGACGCCACCTCAGGTCACCCCCACAACTCTCCGTCCCCGTCCTCACTTCCCCATGCCCACGCACTCACGAGCTTCCTCAGCCTCTTACGGCCAACTGTGAGTGAGCCTTGAAGTTGCCCAGCCTTAAACCTGGAGACAGAGAGACGTCAATGGTTCTGGGACAGGGGACCTCGCACGTCAAGAGGAAAGGGTCCTGAGGCAACAACCCCACTTCATGCGGCAAGGGGCCAGAGCAACATGGCGGCGCTCTTCACCACAGGGGTTGGGGGGGCGAAAAGGAGAGAAGCTGCCCTTGATTGGAGGAACCAGTGTCACGTGAGTTCATTGGTTACCAGGGAAACCAGCCTCTTGGGCACGCCCCTCACGACCCGTCAGGTTAATCACCATCCAGGTGTTTCCCTTTAATAAACTAGCCCCTGGAGCCCTTCTGCCCTCAGGATTAGAACCCTCCCTGACTGGGGCAGAGGGCAGGCATGGGCATGGTCTCGTGTATAGGTGCCGCTGAAGCGGGGGCTGGTGGAGCAAGGGAGGCGGCGTACAGAGGACAAGAGAACAGCCATCTTGCCTTGATTTTTTAAGACTCTTGATGTGGGCCACTTTTAAAGTCTTTATTGAATTTGTTGCACTATTGCTTCTGTTTTGTTTTGGTTTTTTGGTGGTGAGGCCTGTAGGATCTTAGCTCCCCAACCAGGGATTAACTCCGCCCCCCCGCACCCCCCACATTGGAAGGCAAAGCCCTAAGCACTGGACTGCCAGAGAAGTCCCAAGAGAACCGCCACCTTGAATGGCCTGACCATACACCGTCATATTCCCAAAGCCCAGTGCCTGACACATAGCAGAGACTTGTTTTGGCTTCCTGGACTACCAAAACCAAGGGCCTGAAACTAACGGTTTGAAACAACAGAATTTGGGGATGTAAAATGGTGTGGCCTCTGTGAAAACAGTACAGCAGTTCCTGAAAAAATTAAGCATAGGGTTCCATGCGTGTGTGCATGCTAAGTTGTTTCAGTCATGTCCAACTCTTTGCGATCCTATGTGCTTAGCCCACCAGGCTCCTCTGTACATGGGGTTCTCCAGGCAAGAATACTGGAGTGGATTGCCATGCCTTCCTCATAGGATTCCTATGTGATCCAGCAGTTCTACTTCTGGGAATACACCCATGAGAAGTAAAGCAGGGATGCCAGCTGGTATTAGTATAATGCACCCATGTTCATGCAGCATCACTCACAAAGGCGAAAAGGTGGAAACAGCCCAAATGCTCACTGGCAGTTGAATGGATCAACAAAATGAATTCTAGCCTTACAATAGAATGTCATTCAGCCTTGAAAAGGAATGAGATTCTGACACAGCCTACAACCTAGATGAAACTTGAAGACATTATGCTAACTGACAGAAGCCAGGTACAAATACAGTATGGTTCCACTCAGATGAGATTATTAGTGCAGTTAAATTTAAAGACTGAAAGTAGGATCGTGGTTGCCAGGGTCTGGAGGGAGGGGGGACTGGGGAATTATGGTTTTGTAAGTGCAGAGTTTCAGTTCTGCCAGATGAAAAACACTTCTGGAGATGGATGGTAATGATGATTGCAAGAGAGTGTGAATGTGTTTAATGCCACTAAACCAAATACTTAAAAGTGGCTAAAATGGTAAATTTCATGTTATGAATATTTTATCACAATAAAAATAATGTTACATAGAGACTTCCAGAAATGTATTGCCTCATAGTTCTGGAAGCTGAAAGTCTGAAATCACATTCTTTTTCTTTTAAGATTTTTTAAATTGAAGTATGGTTGATTTACAAGGCTGTGTTATACATGTTATATATTTTATTTTTTAAAATATTCTTTTCCATTATGGTTAACACAGGACATGGATTACAGTTCTGTGTGCTAACAGCAGGACCTTGTTGTGTATCCATTCTACACATAAAAGCATACATCTGCTAACGCCAACCTCCTACTCCAGCCCTCCCTCAACCCCCGCCCCCTCAGCTACTACAAGTCTGTTTTCTATGTCCATGAGTCTGTTTTGTAGACAGATTCATTTGTGTCATATCTTAGAGTCCACATGTATGTGATAGCATATATTATTTGTCTTTCTTCTTTCTGAAGAACTCCAGTTAGTTCTAGTTGCACTCATGTTGCTGCAAATAGCATCATTGCATCCTTTTTTATGGCTAAGTAGCATTCCATTGCATGTATGTACCTCATCTTCTTTATCCATTCATCTGTCGATGGACATTTAGGTTGGTTCCATGCCTTGACTATTCATAATGCTGCTGTGAACACTGCAGTGTATTTTTGAATTACAGTATCTTTTTGTCTGGATATATGCCCAGGAGTGGGATTGCTGGATTATATGACTACTCTATTTTTAGTTAAAATCACCTTTTCGTTGCTACAAAGAGGAGAAGACCTGGTATCCCCAAACACAGTTTGATCCTTAGACATAAAAGGAACCAAAGCCAGAAGGAGCCTCAGAGGCCACCTACATCAAGAGAACTCGTCCCCTCTTTCAGCACCAACACTCCCTTCTCATGACAATTATTTTGTGACAGTCCATTCATCTCTCTAAGTAAAATTGAAACTATAACTCAAGTATGGGCATAATGTTCAGAATGAATTAATAATAAGATGTCCTAACTATACAGGAATAAGTAAAAGGAAACATAATAATATGTATTTCAATAGAAATAGATTTGGACAGTTATACAAGAATGATTATAAACAGAGTTAGGTATTTGTGCTGCTTACAATGGACAAGTTTGGATTGGAAGGTAATAGTAAACTGAATGTGTGTTTGACAATTTCATATGCCCAGGAAACCTGTCTCCTGAGTCCTGCTCCTCCCCAGGTCCCGTTCTCCCCATGAAGTCTTGCCACTATTTGGATTCCACGTGCTTGGCCACGGAGCCTAGTTCCCTCATTCTCTCGCTTGCACTGGCATCCTTAGGATGAACCTCCACCACTGCATCACCGAGACGTCTCTCTGGATCATACAACCACAGAGCCCATCTCTAGGCTCATCATTTTTAAAGATATGAAGGAGGAGGGTGAATACTTTTGGAGCCCACACTTTATCTACTGTTCTCATCCCTCTCTGCAAATTAAACTTATGCACGTACTCAAAGCAACCTAGATAAATAGTGTTATTAACTGCACATTACAGAGAGGTGAAGGCGGCACAGAGAGGTTAAGTGACTTGCCCACGGGCACACAGTAGATGATGGAGCCTCAGAAGGAACTAAGTGATGTGGATCAAAGGCCCACCTGGGTCACCGTGCCTCCAACCAGTAGTCTACAAGGCCTCTCAATTAAGCAAAATGGTTTCCTGGTTCCGAACCTTGACCTTTAGTCACTGAGGGATGCTCTTGTTATGCTCTCCTGTTCATGCCCTGCCCGTGCATGCACCGTGGAATTTGAGTCTCGGTTGGAATGAAGAGCAGCCTTTAAGGAGGATGCAGCATGGGGTCAAATCCCAGCCCTGCAGCTCGCGGGGCTGTGTGACCTCGGCCCTTGGCTGTCCCTGCCTGTGCTTCCCGGGCCTCTCAGAGGACTGAACCAAAGTAAAAAGCCCATTTGAGGGGGCTTCCCTGGTGGCTCGGTGGTGAAGAATCAGCCCGCCAATGCAGAAGACCTGGGTTCAATCCCCGGTTCGGAAAGATCCCCCATGCCGTGGAACAGCCAAGCCGGTGCGCCACAACGCCTGAGCCCACACGCCACTGCTGCTGACGCCCGAGCGCCCTGGAGCCTGTGCTCCGCAACAGGAGGGGCCAGCACAACGAGAAGCCACGCGCTGCAGCCCGAGAGCAGCCCACCCTCGACAACCAGCGAAGAGGCCACGCAGCAGCGAGGACCCAGCACAGCCACAAATAAAGAGCAACGTATTTTATTTATAGCTTTTGAAAAAAATAATTTGAGGTGACCTCTCTGCTGTGCATATTTTTTTCAACAGGCAGGCTGAAGGAACTGAAAAACCACCCCATTTTTCATGTCTTCCTGGGGTCCCATGGGCCGCCCCCACATCAGCTGTCTCAGCCATGGGGAGGCTGAAGGTGGCTGGGAGGGGCCCTGGGTGTCACAGGGGAGCAAAGTCGGGGTGACTTCTGGAGGTGGGAGGGGTGGGGACTGGTCCCCGGGAAGCCAGCCGACACCTGTCCAACCAGACAGTCCCTCCTCTTCCCATGGGGGGAGGGAGGTCAGAGGAGACCCATGTGTTTACCGGGCGCTGCCTGGCAACCCCCTTGGGCCGGATGAAGACACTGAGGCTCAGAGCAGTGATGGTCAGGAGTCGGGGGTGGGGTGGGGGCTCCGCCATCGAACCGAGGCTGCAGAAGGGCAGGGGGCGGCCACTGAGCATGGAAGAGAGACGGTCGGGGCACCATGTCATCTCAGCTCACCCCGATCTCTGCAGGAGCCTCCCAACCTGTCCCCCTGCCTCCCCGTCGGCCCCACTGAGTGTGTTCTGGGCCCCAGCTGGAGCGGTCCTGTGAAACCCAAAGGCAGACCATTCAAACTCTCCGTGGCTCCCACCTCCTGGAGAAGAGTCAGAGTTTGCCAGGGTCGGTAGAGCCCTACACGCCGACCTTAACTCCCTCTCTGACCCCTCCCAGTCTCTCAGCTAACACATTCCAGACCCACTGGCCTCCTTGCTGTGTCTCCAACACTCAGCTGCAAAGCCTGTTCTCCTTCCACCTGGAATGTTCCCACAGCTCACTCAGGTCTGAGCTCAAATGTCACCTCAGAGTGGAGTTCTCTGACCACCACCCCATCACCCTGCATCCTTGAATCCCGATTTCTTGTCCTTAACCTTGGCCACCTCCTGACGTTATGGTCAAACTTGTTCATTTATGTTTGGTCTCATAGAAGGTGAGCTCTGGGGAGGGTGGGACTTTCGTTCGGTTCTCTGCTGTGACCTCAGGCTTTGAACAGGGCCTGGCATTTGTTGAATACGTTAATGAAAACAGAGATTGGCAGAGAGATGGAGGGGGGATGACAGACAGGTGGATGGGCCAGAAGAAGGATGGATGGATTAATGGGTGAAAGGGTGACCGCAAGGGTGGATGCATGGATAGATGGATGGAGGGAGGGGTGGATGAATAGCAGATGGAAGGATGGATGGAAGGAAGAAGAACTGCAGGAACAGAAAGAAAGATGAATGGGTAGAAGGAAGGATGGATAAACCAATGGACAAAAGGAAACACAGAAATCCAGAAGGAAGACTAGAAGGATGGATGGACGGACAGACTGCCAGATGGAGACGCAGGCGGACAGACACAAGA